ATTTAGGTAAAACAAAATACTGCCATTTAGAAGAAAATACTGTTCAAATTGTGTATTTAGGTAAAACAAAATACTGACATTTAGAAGAAAATACTGTTCAAATTGTGACCTCAGAATTTTCCTGCAATACTCAAATATACACAAAAGCATACACAATCATAACAGAATAGAGTATGTATTCAGCACGTTATTATTATAACTCCACAATAATGAATCAGTGTTGGAATAGGGCATAGAGAAAAGCACTCATCTGCTTTTGAATGTGGATTGCCATCTATCTTCTCAACAAGGTAAAAGAGATACACAAAAGAGATCTGAATAGGTCTACTGGAATAGAAGCCTAACAGAAAATGAAACAATACTAATGATTTTTAGGAGTCAGATACCCCTGGTAAACAGTACTTGTGAATTACTAAATTATAGATACAGTTCTCAAGTACTGACTCTGTACTGCCACGTGTTCATGAGTAACATACATTGTGCATAGTCCGTGCATCCACTGACCAGAGAAAATTTTAAGATAAGTTTTAATGGGAATTATTAGCCCTTTACGTCTTCAAAAAACGTTATCACTGCCCAAGTTATTAGTACTGAGCACTTAAAACAGTCTAAAAGAGACTATTTGAACAAGAAAGGGATTAGCTGTCAAGAGTACCTTCAGGTTAATAATGGAAATGTACTTTAAAAGCAGAGGTAAACTTCCACAGAATACATTTACTAAACCTATACTTCCTGTTTGTCAATAGTTTGGTAAAGGACACTTTTTCTTTCAAACACATAATAGAGAAAGACCCAACTAAGTACAACACAGGAAACGAAAACAGTTTAGCAAAGCATCAGATCACGCCTCAAAGAAGAAAAGAATATTAAAAATAATAAATATAAGTCATTATGAAGTATCTATGTGCTTTCTTTTTAAAACTTGAAGAGGACTTTTTCTTTAAGAAGGAAAAAAAATTACTGGCATAATTACAGAGCAGTCATGTAATTACAATGTAATCACACAGTGTGATACAAGTGACTCCTTGCAATAGGAGTGACCTTTTGCTTTGAAACTTTTGGAATTTAGGAATTTGTGTTAAATATGGAAAGGCTGCACAGATATCTGGAAGGCCAAGTAAGTATGCCTTTCAGCTGCTTAATGGATGTAGTTTGACACGATTATATTTAGGAGCTGGACAAAAAGCGTGACGTTTTAAGATGTTCCTCAACACTAACCCAGTTAAGCATATCTTTGAGCTGCTCTGAACACAAATCCAGGCTAATGCTCTGGCTTGTAAATTCTAACACTTGCAAGTGTAAACGCTGCTACTTACATGTTGCTATCAGGAGATGTGGGTAAGCAAAGTTGTCTGCAGACTAGTAAGGCTCCTGATTCAGAAACATAATTCTTCACTGCATGCGTGCTCTTTTCCTCAGTTTATTTAGATTCCTATTCCTATAGAGTAACCTACGCTTAATGGATAGCTAAAATTATGAACAAATAATAAGGATTACAACTTCACGGGCTTGCCTTCAATGGGATGACACATTCTCTTCCAAAGAGCAGAGTAATGGCCGATATCCAACACCTTACCACATCGTCACCTGAGCCTGCATCCAAGAACCACAGCAGCAATGGGTACCTTATCTCAGCCTTCATTACAAGAGCAGAGTGTGTTCCTTACTTAAACGTGAATCACGGCGACGGCGCCAGTACCTGCTGAGGTACAGGGCACGTCAGCCCTAACACCCAGTTACATTCACTCAGTTACCTTATCTTCACACCAAAAGCATCTCATCCGGCCGGTTAAACTACAAAGGTCAAAGCCATCTATGGTGTTCATACAGGTACACCCCTCATTTGCATCCCAATCAGTTTTTATTATATAGACTATGAAAAGTCCCTTCCTTGGCTATAATTTGACCTAACTGCTCAGCAAAGCACCAGCTAATCTACACTTGAATTCACCTTGGAATTCGACCTAACTGCTCAGCAAAGCACCAGCTAATTCTACCTGGATTCTAAAGGAATCTCAATTCACAGTACTGTCAGAAATCCTAAACATAACTTATTTTCCCATACACTCCTCTCTTTCCTTCCTTGATCATTAAACAGGAATCTCAATTTACTTATTTTCCCATAGACTCCTCTCTTTCCTTCCTTGATCATTAAACAAACTTACTTTGTCTCTTATCATTTGAAATCAAACTAGGATATTTTTTTTTTTTGAAGTGTAACTAAAGATTCTAATACTGACCCAAGTTACTGGGACAATAAAATGTTTTGTGGCAAACAAATGCCAAGGCATTTCATAAATTAAGTGACCTTGCCCAACTTACCAATATCATTGTTAACTGCTAACTACAATGGTCTGCAGGAATGAAAGAACCTGGCCAGCATCCTCAGATACTACTCATTTATTCTAATTTCCACTATTTCTCTTATTTCCTTACTTTTTAGAGACTTTTGTCCTCAAAAATATTTCATTGGGGGTAAAAAAATTGTAAATGCTAAATACCCAGCAGCGGATCTACTGAAAGTCGAAGAGTTTGATCAGTGATAAGGATAGAATCAGGATTTCCAAAATGAATATAATCACTTCATTTGAGTCATTCCCAGCTCACTCAAAACCCCAAATTTATATAAAACTACATAGGTCCTCCTATTTAAAATTGGTTTGTGCAAAATAAGAGCCAACATAAAAGAAAATTAACCAAATTAAAATGCAGCTGATCTACACCACACTGATCTATTTTCAGCTACTTATCTCTGTGGTGATCCACTAATCCAAAAAGCTATAATGGAACTAGTACTTATCTTAATAGAAGAATCCCACAAGAATCAAGATTCAAGATAACTCAGGGCAGTTTGGCTCTAATCAGACAACCTTCCACTATCCACCAAGTGCTGCAATTCTAAGTTTCAGCTTGGAAAAAAAAAAACACAAGTAATTTTTGGCAAAAGATTAGATAAAGATTAACCCAGCCACTACTAATCAACATGTTAGTGAAATGGCACTTGGCAACACACCCCATAAATCACCACAACTTTCTAACCAGGTTATAAAGGATTCAGTAAAAAAAAACCCAAACTCTCAGATATGAAAATCACGCCTCAAAAGTCAACAAACTTGAAAGATCCTGAACCACAACAGTTAGAAAAAGTAGGAGCATTGGTTTAATAAACTTTGCCTTATATTTAAGCAAAATTTCAAAGCATCTTTTCACGCTAATTGTTTCAACGCAGTGATGATACTTACTACAAATGACAATTAAAAAAATCATGTTTCTTGCTATGTCTATTGAAAAGTTTAAAAGGGAAAACCAAATGTTTCAGAAGTTGTCATGAACTTCAAAAGCCAGTTAAAACTGAAAGCAACTAATTGGTGTACATAGATATGCTCTAGATACACTCTAGATAACGAAGGAGTATGAAAATCAAGATGAAAGAGGAACCATTCTTCTAAATTCTTCTGTCACTGCAATTATGAACAAAGGTCCACTCACAGCAAGGCTGCTGTGTTTGATACCTGCTTGTCTTTCACAGCAATGAGAGCTGTGACTCCAAGTTTTTTTGAACCAAAGACCCCCACTGTCAACTTCAGCGTATCAACCATACTAATATATCTACTTTTATCACCATTTTAATGGATAATACTGTATTTTTAACAGTTAATCAGCTGCAAAGCATTTGAAAGACTAAAATGAATATGTGGATCAAACAGATGTCACTTTCTACTTCAGAAACTTCACATATGAATGTTTCTGGTCAATTTCACAGGTCATTGAAAAATCTTCTCTGAGCCCTTACAGATTGCCAAAGGAGAACAATTACTGTAGCCTTAATCACCTCCCTTTTTTTGGCTTTCCCTTTTCTCATAGGTCCAGATCCATGCATCTGACATTGACTGGATCCACACCTCACTAAGACATCATGAAGGAAGCCCTTCCTTGGTGTTTCAGTGCTGTCAAAGCTGACGAAAGCAGCAGTCAGATTGCTGTTCTCATGACAGAACTATAATCATTCTGTGCTTATTAAACTTGGATTACTGGTAAATCTTCCAAACCTGTGATTTCCAGTTAAGTAGACATATACATTAAGCTAGAACTCATAATTTACTTTCTTTTCATTGATTTTTCTTGCATACTACTTGGTTATGCTTGAGTCTTCCCACGGTAGCACAGGGCACTTTAATGTTCTCTAAAGTGGGGATTGGGTTCCACTTTTAGGGCCATTCAACTTGGAAATCCAGTGTCTCTGATGTCCTAACCCCTGGCTGGGGGATTGGATTCGATCTGTAAAGGACCTTTCCATCCTCAAGCATTCTATGATTGTATGAACTTTGCTAAAGCCACCAATTAAGGTCTCGGGAAGAAAAACAACTTGCAAATCCTTTCCTCCCATGTGCACACTCACGTCTAAGGGAATAGCAACATATTTCTTACTTTGGAATAAGTTGCACATCCTGTTTCAAACTTGTTATTCAAATGGATGAGCGAGGATTGCCTCCACATAAAAAAGCGCCCGCCTACTGCTACATGGCAGTAAACTGACCTTTTTTTTTTTTTTCCCCAAAAAGAAGAAACAAAACAAATTCTAAGTTGCCGTTTGCTATTGCGATGCTTCAGGCCCACTCTCTATTAGCGCCCGGGGAGTTAAAAACTACCTCAAAAAGCACTTTACTCCGATGCTGACTTTCTCCTGAGACTGAGAAAAGTAAGTAAATTGAGGGAAGTTTAAAATAAAATAGAGAAATAAATAAAATTGTGGAATTACTTTTAGTAAAGCAACACCTAAGCCTGACCCCTTTGATGGGGAGCAACCCCCAAGGAGGAGCAGGGGGGGGGGATGCTGCTCTGTAGGAGGGGGGCCCCCCCGCCGGGAACGGGACGCTCCCCCCACCCCCTAAAAAAAAATAATAAATCACCATCCCGGGAAATCTGAGGGAAAACACCGAGCACGGGGCTATCCCCGGTAGCAGAGGGGGTCAAGCGCGCCCGCCCCCCCGCCATTTTACCTCAGGCCGCCGCTTCACCTCCACCGGGCCGCCGCCGGCCGCCGCCGCCGCCGCCCCCCCTTTGCCGGCGCTCTTGGGGCGACCGTCGTACTTACAGCCCGGGGGCAACGCGGCGCCGCCACCGCTGCCCCCCAGCGCCGTCAGGAGCAGGAGGGCGGGCAGCAGCCCCGCCGCCGGGCGGTGGTGGTGGCGGCGTCGGCGGCGAGGTGGGCGGCAGAAAGCGCGGCGGCCCGGGGGTAGCATGGCGGGGTTGCTCAGGGCCCCGCTCCGCTCCTCCCGCAGGGGTCGGCCGGGGCGGG